AAAGATAAAATTATCTTATCAATCACTAAATTTCTTTATATTAATTTAATATTAAATGAAAATAAATATCAATAAGCAACTTCTCACCTTCTACACTGACATCAATGTATTCATATTGATTTGAATCAAAAAATCAAAAAATCAAAACCACTACATTCAATTATCCGTTTACAATTAAAAATAATTTCCAATTTTATAATTAAAAAAATTAGATAACAAATTGTACCTCTAGATTGAGAGAGTGTTTTTTCCATTTAAAATGACATATAGAAGAATCATAACCTAGAGAAGAAAGATTTTCTGCAACTATCTTTCTCAAATCGTTTTTTCGCTTGAAAATTTTGCTATTTTTGTCAACTATTTTTTATGTATCAGCTAACAGATTTCTCTCTACAACACTCGCACATGGAATCAAACTCTACAAACAAAAACAAAAATGTAAGAAATTATTTGAAGATAAAGTAAATCTATAAAGTTAGAGTTCTTGAAGAAACCTTAAGCGTGTCACCGGAGTCATTGATAGAACCAAAAGTGATAGATTCACCAAAGAAATCAAGTTCTTAATCAGAGCTATCGTTAAAGTTTCCGCTAAAGTAATTGCATTTGTTGCGAGCAAATTCAGACACCGGTGTTTGCTTATCGTTACTCTCTTCAATGAAACTCTGAACCATTTCAGCTAAGCAAACTCTGAACCATTTTACCGTCATCAATAGAAGTGGTGGAGAAAGAGGGATAAATAAGTAGAAGATTGGAGAAATAATGGCTTAGAGTTTGAAGAGAAACAAAATCGTATATTTAGGTATTGTTGGAAAATAGCGAAAGTTGAAAGGATTTGTGTTTCTCCATGTTGGAAATTGTGATGTTTATGGCTGCAAATCAATTGTTTTGCATTGGAATTGCAAGTGTTATGTTGGGCTATACAATGGAGGGATAACTCAATGTATCATTTCAACTTGTACATTAAATGATTAGGGGTATTGTAATGTAGGTTGTAAAAAATAATATAAAATATCAATAAAAAATGTAGTTGTACCAAATCAGTTTCGATCAGAGTTTGAGGTTGCGAGATCGACGGAAATATTCAAGGCGATTCTCATGAGATTGAGATTGGAAATAATCATGTTTTCTTCTATGATGAAACTATTTTACATACATTCGGGTGCTTTTCATTATCTGAAAATACTAAAAATTTATGCTTGAATAGATAAATGTAGGTTGATTTGTTCTTGCTAGATTTGGGTAATGTTTTGTCATCTACTGTGAAATGAAATGGGTGAGCTTTCCTTATTGTTTGTTTGCCTTGGTATGTCATTGTTAAGTGAGATACTTCCATTGAATCGAACTGTAAGTTTTTATCGTGAATGGAACAATATCTCGAACTTCTTATTTTGTGTTCACTACATTGATGTCTATGGGGAAGGTGAAGCTCATTTTCCATTACATACAAGTATGTTTATCACTCTTTATTGCATGTACTTGATGCATTTACTCTCCATATTTATCCAATTGACACTATTTTGTCACTCTACTTATTCATTGAACCAATATCTCAAATGTTTTGTGCTTGAGGTAGAATCTAACTCTTTCTATTACTTCTATTGTTTAGTATTTCTATTTTTTTCCATATAAAATAAAGACTATAATTGTACATTGTTTGGTTCACTATGAAAGTAAGTAATTCATAATTTCTTAATTATAAAGGCTCACTATGCATTTCAAACATATTCTATGAATCTAACTCTTTGATTCAGTGGAATGCATAACTAAGCTTAAGCACGAATCTCCATTCACGGAAGTACAAACTTTCATAAAATAAACAAGTCAAAAACAACGACAAACAAATATTTAACAAGAATCAACGAAAGCATAAAGGCATAAAATCAAAGTAAAAACATTTATAAATGCTAACCACAAGGGCCGACATTGTCTGAATATTACAAAAATTACGGGCACGCATGCCCCGAATACAAACATCCAAGTTATCTGAGAAAAACTAATCACTTCGTGGAGTGCTCACTTCGATCTCTACCTCAGGAGAATCGGGAGGAGGAACCACTCTGCCATCAATCACTTGAGATAAAACCCTGACACTGTCGGTGTTGAGCCCCGGATTTAGCATGGACAGTTGAACCGGTGCAGTCTCAAAACTGTCGGTCAAAGCATCGACACAATCTGACTCGAGGACCTGGATTCGAGCAATTAGCTCCGCACGGGTATGCAAATAAGCGACTCCCTCGGGCTTTCCTTCCACGGGCAGCATGACGGCCTTTAAATCGGCGACCTCCTTCTCCAGTTGTTCCCTCTCGAGCAACAGGGAATCCCTTTCCTTATAAGCTTTGACAACTTTTTCCTTCTCCATTGCCAACTCGTCAGCCTGCCCCCAAAAATTCTCCTCGCTTCGCTCGAGGGCAGTTTTTAACTTTTGCGTCTTTTCCTGAAGAGCCGCCTTCTCCAACTCCAGTTCCCTCACCAGGTCAGAAGAGTCGACTCCCTCACCTACAAGGACAACGGTCATCTCCGCGACCTTCATCAGACCGACCATACCAGAAGCCAGGTGCTTCCTACGACCATCCTCATCAAGGCGCCTAATGACATCAGATTCGCCATCAGACACGATCAAAGGAAAACCTTCGAAGAAATCTTTTTCGACAAGCAAGGGGAAAGTGTGAAGGCCCGAGCAGATTCCCCCTCGTCAGTCACATCTGTAAGACCACCTTCAGGACGACTTCTTTTCTTACTCAACACAGTCGCGTGCTGCACGATGTCGCGAGTACCTGACGACCCGCTCGACCCATCCCTGGCCGGCTCTGAGACTAAACTAAGGCATGTGGGTTGGTGTGGCTTCACCATCCTTTTGTGGTTCTTCTTCTCCTGGGTCAACTTCATAAGTCGTTCACGATGCTCGGTCATGTTACCTACAAAAACAAAAACAACATGCTCGAGTCAGCCTCATTAGAAGGACATACCCAAAATAAATCAAGAAGGAAAAATACAATAAAATCACACAGGCAGAAACCTATAAGGTTCACGGCCTGTCTATAGGTACGGCACTCAACGAGCGCCTTAGTGTTGATCAGGTGCGCCTTGAACGTTGGTTCGCCGTCTTTGTCAAGGATGTTGTGTCCTTCCCTCGTGGCCCACCTCGAGGGAAAGAAACCGTCGACGAATCGATTAAGAACACCAAAATCCTCTTCATTCCAGGCACTCATGTTGCCGGCGGGGGTATGGTAATGGTCGAGACTATGCTCGTAGTGACCCAAGAACCAGTGGATAGGGAAATACCACGTGGAATTTTATGTTGCGTATGTTTATTAACGTCATTAAAACTCTGAAAAAACATTCTAAAATTTTAGCCTTATGCTTGATTCAAATCCAGGACTTCTTACTTGCAAGCAATTGTCACTTACCATTATAACACTTCACAATTGATGTTAATTTCTCCATTCAGATTTATTATCAAGTCTATTCCAAAATTCTATTTTTTAAATATTAATATCCCTGTATTACATTCAAAAACCAACCATATACAGTCCATTATCAATATCATGTATATATAAAAAGCTTGCCATCGAATCCAAAACACAACCAACCATTGCAACTCCCGTGAGTGTTTGTTTTTTTAGCATTTATAATGGTTGCATCTGTTTTAGATGCAAAATGTAAAACTGGAGAGACCAAAATTCAAAATGTAAAACCTAGGGTCATTATTCACTTAAAAAGTAGGCAATAGTACAGTCAATTTTCTATGGATATTATTGTGGCAGTTGAGAGTATATGATATATGGGTTGTAGAAGGTTTATATAATCGGCGACGTAATTTACGCGATGACTATTTGGAGTTATATGAGAAATGGTGCATATGTGAGGCTAAAATCATGTGGATCTCACTGCATCTTTTATGATTACCACAACTTTGGTGTCGGAGGCTCAAAACAAATATCAGAGGGGTCACATGAAGATTCAATTCTATGCACCATTCTTCATTATAAAAGAATGTGATATCTATATAATTGGAACACACTTCAATTCAAGTCTAAACTCAAAACACATATTCAACCACGCATTAATTTTCCAAACCATGATTTTGCAAGAAAGCATTAATGTTCTTCACTTTGTACTATTTTCCTTAATAGCCCAAGGACACATTATTCCAATGATTGACATAGTTAAACTCTTAGCACAACATGGTGATATTGTTATCATTTTCACAACACCAAAAAATGCATCACGTTTTTCTTCTGTTATTTCTCGTGCTATTTCTTCTGGTCTTCAAATCCAGGTAACACTCAATTTGCCTTCAAAACAAGCTGGATTGCCAGATGGTTGCGAGAATTTCGACATGGTTGATATTTCAAAAGACATGATATATAGTAAGCAGTTCTAATATTAAAAAAATAGAACTTTAGAATAGATTTGATAATAAATCTAAATGGAGAAATTATTATAGTAGTAAGTTGCAATTGCTTGTAAGTAAGAAGGCTTGGGTTTGAATCCAGCATAAAGCCAAAATTTTAGAATGTTTTTTCAGAGTTTTAATGACGTTAATAAACATATGTCACATCATTAATGTGAATATTTTTAAACAATTAAATGACTATTTTAAAACTTTTTAAAGATAAAGGATTAAAATAGATTCCGAGAAAAACTTAAAGGACTAAAAAAATATTTTACTAAAGATAATCATAACTTTTCACAAGGGAAAAGCAAGCCTAATTTTAATGTTTATTGAATCTTGTTTATCTATTAAAAAAATTAACTTTGATATTCTGTCAACTGTATCCGTCAATGCCGTATATTCGGGGTCCAGTGATATTATACGCCAAAGCAATTTCTTGGATACAAGTTGAAGGAAACTTCCGAGCAAACAAACATTTTTCTCTTTCAGTTTTGGCAACTAGTTTGAATATTTTCCCCCGATATAGAGATCGAAGGAGTAGGTATTAACGGTATTATATTTTTCTGTTTGAGCTTCAAATACAGACTTGTATACACTTTCATCCATGACTTCCTTTTTGAGAGCAGACATTAGCGGCCATAAACCTACGTCGAAATCTCGTCCAAGTCCCGATCATTTTCAAGAACAGTGTAAAATATTCTCCTAATTTACTTCGTTACATGGATCCATCAAATTTATTACTCTTTCTATTATTATTATTATTATTATTATTATTATTATTATTATTATTATTATTATTTTATCATAGTTTTCATGGATGAAGAAATAAAAAGTCAGCAAGAAGATATGACAAAAACTCCAAGCTGTTTGTCAAATAGTAAAGAAGAGTCTCCAAATCGAGTTCAGAGATGGAAAGAAGCCCTTGGTCAAGCTGCCGGACTTGCAGAGTTTGTAGTGCTAAATTCCAGACCAAAATTCAATCAAACAAATTATTTTGAAAAGAAAAAAATAACTTTTGGGTAATATCATAGAATCTATGTTTCATAGATATAATATTTTATTTAGCTTTTCTTAAATAGGTATCAAAGTGAGGCTATCAAGTATATTGTTGCAACAAGTACATTTTTGCTAGACAAAATAGACATGTTTGTTGCCAATCATCCCGAGGAAGTTGAACCTCGAGCACGTGATTGTTAGGTTAATTTAATTATTTATTTTTTAATATGTTTAAAAGACTTAGTTTTTATCGGTGTTGTTAGTGCTGTTAGTTTGTTTAGTAGGTAGCTAGTTTTTAGGAATTTTAAATTCGTGGCTTTGTTGAATTGTTCTGATGTACTGCCTATTTATAAGGCTATTTATTTTCAATAAAATAATACTTTTGAATTCAGTTATCAATATCTATCAGTGGTATCAGAGCTAGGTTACGTGAGAGGGAGTGCACTGAGAGAGAAACACTGTGAGGGAGAGAACCAAGAAATTGCAGAGTTGTTTTTCTTTTAGCACACATGGCTTCCGACAATAGCTTTGTGCAAGCTGCTATCCCCTGCTTTGATGGTCACTATGACCATTGGAGCATGCTCATGGAAAATTTCTTGAGGTCCAAGGGGTATTGGCCGGTTGTGGAATCTGGAGTACCAGAGATAGGAGATGAAGCTGCATTGACTGATGCACAAAAAGCAGAAAGAGAAGCTTTGAAGTTAAAGGACTTGAAGGCAAAGAATTACCTCTTTCAAGCCATCGATCGAGCAACCTTGGAGACGATTCTTTGCAAAGACTCCTCCAAGCAGATTTGGGACTCTATGAAAAGAAGGTATATGGGAAATGCAAGGGCAAAGCGTGTGCAACTGCAAGCACTTTGAACAAAATTTGAAACTTTGCGAATGAAAACAGGTGAACCTGTCGCTGATTATTTGTGTAGAGCCATGGAAGTGGCTAACAAAATGAGAGTTCATGGAGAAAAAATGGAGGACGTGAAGATTGTAGAGAAGATTCTTCGGTCAATGACGCCCAAATTCAATTTCGTTGTCTGCTCTATTGAAGAATAAAAAAACATTGATGAACTGACACTTGATGAGTTGTAAAGTTCCTTGTCGGTTCATGAGCAAAAAATCATCCAGCAGGATATTGAGGAACAAGCTTTGAAGGCTTCAACCTTTAAAAGTTTCGATAGAGAAAAAAAAAGGGACGTGGAAGGACAAGAATCCATATCACAAATCAGACGAGGATTATGCATCAGATACGCGAAAGAGTAGAAACTACCGTCAATTCAGAGGCAACAAGATAAATAATGACGAGTCCAATGTTGAATGTTTTCGATGTCATAGATATGGTCACTACAAGTCTGAGTGCAGAACCAAATTGCATCATGATCGTGGTCAGAAGTCTAACTATGCGGAAGAAAAGGAAGAAGATATTTCTCTCTTGATTGCATGACACAAGGAGGAGAAAATCCATGGAAGTATGTGGTACTTAGACACAGGCTGCAGCAACCACATGTGCGGGGATAAATCGTTGTTTTCAGACTTGGATGAATCATTCCGAAGCACTATAAAGTTTAGAGATAACTCTACAGTTTCAATCATTGGCAAAGGAAATGTCAAACTATATACAAAAGACAACACAAAACATTGTATTGGTAATGTTTACTTTGCCCCTGATTTAAAAACTAATCTTCTTAGTGTTGGACAACTCCAGGAGAAGGGATTTGAGATTAATATCAAAGATGGGGTGTGTTGTATCCAGAATAGAGAAAAAGGCTTGGTTGCTGAAATAAACATGACATCAAATCGCATGTTCCCGCTACATTTCCGAAACACTTCCCAAATTAGTCTTTCAGCAGAATTGAAAGATGAGTCATGGCTATGGCATTTTCGCTATGGTCATTTGAGCTCTGGAGGATTGCAAACTCTCCAACAGAAGAATATTGTGAAAGGTCTGCCACTGTTTCAAAGAACATCCCAAGTTTGTGAAGAATGCGTTGTTGGAAAGCAACATCGAGAAACTTTTTCAGTAGGAAAATCACGAAGAGCAAAACAAGTCTTGGAGCTGATTCGTTCTGACATCTGCGGGCCAATCACTCTAACCTCAAATGGCGGTAAACGTTACTTCATAAAGTTTATTGATGATTTTAGTCGGAAAACATGGGTTTATCTTTTGCAGGAAAAATCTGAAGCTCTATCCGTCTTCAAACAATTCAAGGCGCTTGCTGAAAATGAAGCGGAGATGTCAATTATAATCCTAAGCAACGATCGTGGTGGTGAATACAACTTACGGGAATTTGTAGATTTTTGTGAGACACATGGAATCCGTAAGCAGCTTACAACAACTTACACACCGCAACAAAATGGCGTCTCATAAAGGAAGAATAGAACCATAATGAATATGGTTCGAACAATGTTGAAGATGAGCGGAATGCCAAAACGTTTTTGGCCAGAGGCGGTAACCTGGAGCATTCACTTGCTGAAAAGAAGTCCCACATTTGCTATCAAGAATATGACACCCGAAGAAGCATGGAATGCACACAAGCCAAGTATTGAGCATTTGAAATTTTTTGGCTGCATCGCATATGCTCATGTTCCGGACCAGAAACGAAGAAAGCTAGATGACAAAGGAGAAAAATGCACATTTCTTGGTGTAAGTAACCAATCAAAAGCCTATAAGCTGTACAATCCATCCACCAAGAAAATCATCATCAGTTGTGATGTGAATTTTGACGAAAGCAAGTTCTGGCCATGGAGTGATGACAACATTGAGCAGAAAGTCCAAGTTGATTTTGATGAAGAAGAAGGAGGAAAAAGTCAGCAACCCACACCAAGTCAGATTACTTCCACTGTTTCTCCAAATTCTGATGCGAATCCAGATTGCGAAATTGAAGAAACTAAGAGGCGAACTCAACGTAATAGGAGAAGGCATGCATGGATGTCCGACTTTGAGGTAACTAGCATTACCGAGGATCCACAAATTCATTCTTCACTATTTGCAGATTGTGATCCTGTAGATTTTGAAGATGCTGTCAAAGAGCCTAAATGGCAAAAAGCTATGGATGTTGAAATTGAGTCTATTGAAAAGAATAATACTTGGGAGTTGTCAGAACTTCCAAGAGGACAAAAAACCATTGGTGTTAAGTGGGTTTTAAAAACGAAGCTGAAAGAAAGTGGTGAAGTCGACAAATATAAGGCACGATTGGTCGCAAAAGGTTACAAGCAAGAGTATGGTGTCGATTATAAAGAGGTTTTCGCTCCTGTTGCACACCATGATACAATCAGGTTGGTGATTTCTTTGGCCGCTCAACATTCATGGCCTATTTACCAATTGGATGTAAAATATGCGTTTCTCCACGACGAGCTAGAAGAATAGGTATTTATTGATCAACATCCTGGATATGTAAAATTTGGAAGTAAGCACAAAGTTTACAAATTAAAAAAGGCACTATATGGACTAAAACAAGCTCCAAGAGCTTGGTATAGTCGTATTGATGCTTATTTTTCAAAGGAGGGTTTTAAAAAATGTCCATATGAACATACGTTATTTTCAAAGTTTGGAGATGGGGAAAAGATGATTATTGCTTGCTTATATGTGGATGATTTGATTTATACTAGAAATGATAGTGCCATGGTTGAAAATTTCAAGCGATCCATGATGGTGAGTTTGAAATGTCTTATCTTGAAATGATGCACTACTTTTTGGGTATTGAAGTGGTTCAATTCGATGCTGGAATATTTCTATGTCAAAAGAAATATGTGCAGGATGTCTTGGACAGGTTCCAGATGAAGCATTGCAATGCTGTCAACACACCAATTGAGGTTAGTTTGAAATTGGCAAAAGATTCCAGAGGAAAAGAGGTGGACAACATTCTTTACAAAAGAATCGTGGGCTGTTTAATGTACTTGACAGCCACACGACCGGACATAATGCATGTTGTTTCTTTAATCATTAGATATATGGAACGTCCAAGGGAGGCACATCTTCTTGCTGCTAAAAGAATTCTCAGGTACCTTCAAGGTACTAAGAATTTTGGTTTGTCCTATAAGAAAGGAGAAAGGGCAGATCTGTGTGGGTTTAGTGACAATGATTATGCAGGAGATGCGGATGATCGAAAGAGTACTATGGGATATGTATTTATGTTTGGTTCTGTTGTTGTTTCATGGTCTTCTAAGAAGCAACCAATTGTCACTTTGTCAACAACTGAAACTGAATTTATAACTCTGACAACATGTGCTTGCCAAACCATTTGGCTCAAGAGAGTTCTTGAAGAACTGCACTTTAAGCAAGATGGGGCAGTAGTGATTTATTGTGATAATGATTCTACCATCAAACTCTCTAAAAATCCTGTTTTATATGGAAGAACCAAGCACATAGATGTGAGGTTTCATTTTCTAAGGGATTACACAAAGGAAGGTATAATCGATATCTTCTACTGCAGGAGTGAAGATCAGATTGCAGATATAATGACCAAGCCACTGAAGCTGCCTACTTTTTTGAAGCTCAAGAAGTTACTTAGAGTCTGCACACTAAATAAAAGTTACTTAGAGTCTGCACACTAAATAAGACTTAGTGAACTGAAGCTAGAGGGTTTTAGTTCAAGGGAGAGATTGTTTGGTTAATTTAATTATTTGTTTTTTAATATGTTTAAAAGACTTAGTCTTTACAGGTGTTGTTAGTGTTGTTAGTTTGTTTAGTGGGTAGCTAGTTTTTAGGGATTTTAAGTTCGTGGCTTTGTTGAATTGTTCTGTTGTACTGCCTATTTATAAGGCTGTTTATTTTCAATAAAATAATACTCTTGAATTCAGTTATCAATATCTAACAGTGATATGATTCAACCATTAGCCATCCAATCATCCATCCAACAATCAAATGATGTTCTACTAATAGGCGTGTGGGGGCATGGGAGGAACGGGCAAAACTACTATTGCAAAAGTCATTTATAATAAAATTGGCCGCAATTTTGAAGGTAGGAGCTTCCTTGCAAATATTAGAGAAGTTTGGGAACAAAATGTTGGCCAAGTGTCTTTACAAGAACAAATTCTCTTCGATATCTGTAAAGAAACTAAAGCAGGGATACAAAACATTGACAAAGGAAAAAGTATATTAAAGGATAAGCTTGGCCATAAAAGAGTACTCCTCGTACTTGATGATGTGAATACATTGAATCAATTGAATGCTTTGTGTGGAGGTAGGCAATGGTTTGGTTTGGGTAGTAGAATAATTATCACAACTAGAAATATGGATTTACTTAAAGGGAATAGAGTTGATAAACTTTACAAAATGCAAGAAATGAATGAAAGAGAATCAATTGAGCTTTTCAGTTGGCACACATTCAAGCAAGTGAAACCGAAAGAAGTTTTCATTGAAATTTCCAAAAATGTTGTTGAGTATTGTGGGAGATTGCCACTAGCTCTAGAAGTCCTTGGGTCCTATTTGTATGGTAGGGAGGTAAAAGAGTGGGAGTGTGTCTTGGACAAACTCAAAACAATCCCCAATGATCAAATTCATAAGAAGTTAAAAATAACATCAGATGGCATTCAAAATTTGTTGTTGATAAATTACACAAAGGCCACCATTATGCTTTTTAAGACAGAGGCATTAGCATTTTTCATTGAGTAGACGCACTGCATTTTCCTATTGATAAAACATTAACCAGCTTATACTGTTTTTGTTCAGAAAATATATACCATGTGTACTTAGTGAAGATATGCCATAAAAAATGAAAGTTTTTGAATTTTATTTAAGCAATGATTTTACAATGAGATAACAAATATGTACAAAAGAAAAACTAAAAATGTCAACTGATTTCTCTGAAAAATGGTTGGTTTCAACCTGTGAAGTATGTTTGAGCATGCTTTTCATTTTCTTAACCAATTGTCAAGTATCCTTTTCCCCCTTGGAGCATTTAGATCAGGCTTTGCTCTATCATTTTTCCATTTGGTTCATCATATGTGAGATGAATTGTTACCTTAATGAAATTGTTCTCGAAAGCAACAATAACCTCGACTTTGTTACCGGGTTCTATACTTGATACTAAGCTTCACCCCTCCTCATTTTCAAATGAGACTAATGCCTCTCTCTTATAGAGCTGAATGGTGTAAAATCTTCTCTTTCAAAACATTGGTGACTTGGCAACTCATTCCCATTTGAATAAAAAGAGATCTCAAGAAAGTATTTGATTCTGAAATGTGCACTTGATAGTAGTATTGATGTAATGCATGAGCTTTCACATTTAAAACTTGTGATGAAGTTGATTCTAATTCTTTAAAATTTGTGGCGTATAAGACATCCTGTAATACCCCAAATTTCTCCTACCCTTTCACTTTATTTGGCTTATGCATCTCGCGCATTTCTCATGTACATAACTTTCATTAGGTCAATTAACACATCATTCATCATTAACCAATAAATTTAGCACGAGATCAAGGATCTTAAAGTTAGGGTTTTCTCTGTGCTTTTAGGCTCTCATCTTCACCCGAAGAATCAACTGGTCCCATCGTCAATTATGGTTTGTGGAGCTAGGTTTTTTGTGTTCATGATCACAGAGAGTTTCATTATCATCAAGCTACAAAGATTATCAAGTTCTCCATCAAAGGGTTGTGACTTGTTAATGCAGGGCTTTTCATCAATACCTCAAATAAAGACCTTGTAAACTAAGGGTTGGGCCTTTCAGCATCTCAAATGCATCTCAAGAGGATTATGATTCTTATCCCTGATGCTTGCGCTTGTTAATTCAATTGAGGTTCATCAGAGGTGTTTTCCTCTGCTCCAAGTATCATTTTCAGTTTCAAAGACTCTTCAACGCGTTTTTATTGTGTTGGAGTGAAATACAAGTAATGGTATGGGAGATGAACTTCTAGACTCATTCAGATTAAGGCAATTTTGGTTCTCATCATCGTTACTTGTTTTTCGCAATACAAGTTGGCTTGAAATTGAGATTGAATTGGAATAATTGGTCTGAATTTATTGATTGGTTAGTATTCATTCAAGTTGCCTAATGTGTTTAGTAAATCAAATTTTGTTTGCAAAATTGAAGGGTTTGTGGATAAGGTTTTCTTAAGAGGCATTCAAGTGCCATTCATCATCGTTCAACCTCATTTCACATGTCCAAAGGTTCCTTCAAAAGCAAGAGATAATGATTCATATATGGGTGCAAAGTCAAAGGAAGTTGAGAATTCAAGTCCTAAACTTAGAAAGGGAAATCACGTTGAATCTTTTGAAAGAAGTATCATGTGAGTTCAAAGATTCATGAGGCATGCTATTTTAGATAAAAGTACCATGACTTCAAATATCCAATACATCATCATACATATTCAAATTATCGATTGGAAGAAAAATGCATGACACGGTCCGTATCAACTTAACTGGGATTGAAGACTTGGCAATGAGGCAGGATAAGGGCTGACACGGGTGCCTGTGTCACACGATGCGCCCCGTGTCAATTCAACTGGGGAAGAAAATACACAAGGAGTATTAGACAGATCCTGGCACGGGTGCCCGTGTCTGCTGACACGGCCTGTGTCAGCTCAAGGGTTAAAATTCCCAATTTTGAGATTTTAAGGTTACTTTGGACATATTGCATTGCTTGGAGATGGCCTAGCATTATACCAAAAACTTTTTCTAGATAAAACATTCAAGTTATTTTATATAATAATTGACATCATTAGACTTAGGTTTTATTTTTTAATTAATTAACTCCTTTTGTAATTAAATTAACTACAAAACTTTTTCTATCAAAAAACCCTAAAAAACAATCTCTTTTCTTCATCTTTACATTTTCGTACATTTATTATTTCGTGCTAAAATTTATGTAATCGTTAAAGCCTTGTAATATTAATTAGGATTTATTTTTACTTGTCATCCCCATTTGTAAATTTGTATCCCTATCTCCCAAAGTATTCTAATAGCGTAGGACCTTTAAAATTATGCAATTTATCGTTTTTCTTATTATTACTAGTAATTTGGGTTTGTATGGCAAGAATAAAAATCGAACATTAGACAACCCTAATTCAGGATAATATACTTGAAATAAACACCTTGCACATTTTCACCTCTAGGGTAACTCACACTTGTTGCATCAGATTAAAACAGTCATGTCCCTCGAAAGTGAGATGTTTTAGCAAAGACCCTCGATTAAAAGATCATAGTCTCTCGATGACCCTTCGATGTTGCCTTTGATAAACGGTCTTAGTCCCTTACAACAATTGCTAAAACATCTTACAAGTTGCCTTCTATGACTATACGACGACCCACGCCCGTCCCTCACATCCAATGATATGACTCCTTACCAAACAATGATAAAACAACACTATCTAAAGGAGGAGGAAAAGAACAAAGACTTATTGAGTAGGTAGATTGCTCGTAATTGCTTTCTCACAAACAAAAACATTTACACCCAACACTTTAAAAACACTTTTCAAAACAAACATTTTGTATACATTCTCAACGATACGAGAATCATTGCAAAATGGCCTTACATGGGCATTTTCAAACACTTCCTTTCAAAAAATATTTTCAAAATAAATACTTTGTATACATTCTCAACGATACGAGAATCATTGCAAAGTTTTACGGACTAAGGAATTTTCAAAATATTTTCAAACTTACACAAACACAAAGCATTTCAAAAGTGATCAAGCAATTAAGAGCCCGTAGATAACTACAAATGAAAAGGGTGCTAACACCTTCCCTTTTCATAACCTACCCCCCGAATTCAAGAAAAATTCTCAAAAGGTCTTTTCTGTTCTTTTCACCATTTCCTTTATTTGATAAAAGAAAAATCAATGGCGACTCTTGCTATCTGCAATATTTGTGATAAAACGCAAAACACCAAGTCAGTTCTCCCACTGTATCACAGAACTGGCAACTCTGCTGGAGAATAATTTAAAAGTGGGGTTACCTTAAGAGCTATATCACCTTTATTTTCTTTATTTGTTTGCTTTACATTTGTGGGTTATGCTTGGGTTTTACTTGTAAAGATCCTATACCCGGATCTGTGGCATATTAGGTAAGTAGCAATAGATCGTGGAGACTATGCGGCATAATACCGACATGGTTGAAGCGATGGCTACATTAGTATGACACATTTGTTAGTATTGGTGCCCCTTGAGCCCAGTCAAGTAGAATACGGGGCCGCTATGTGGTGTCATGAAGCACTAACTGACCGTAGAATATTAGTTGAACAACTTGGCCATTAGAAAGTAGTGAGATAGCTGGCTTTGGTTCAAGACTAAAGTTGGTTGATACTCAATACTACACTCTTTGAGATCGGACTTTTGGGATATTTAGGTTGCTAATAAAGAATCTTGTGCTGAAACAATGCCCGATGAAGAAAGATTAGTGATATTGAGATTCCTTAGAACCCAGTTACTTTCTTTAGGACAGGTCGAACCAACTAAACTTCAAAAGGATACTTACCTATAAACCCCATACAAGCCTAAACCTAAGGCCTTGTGTGCTTTTTTGTGTGTGATTATTTGTTCATAAACATCACGACATCATGCCATAGCATTTTCACTAACCATTTTAAGGATTTAGGGATTTATCTTTGTTCTGTTTTGTAGGATATGGCTTCCACTCACAGAAATACCATCTGAATCAACTTCGTGAGGGCGCCTCCTCAAATCAAAGAGTTAGCGTCAAGGGTTCCTGAAAATTCTCCATTCCCAAAAGATATGGTCGACTTCTCAATCTGGCTACCTCAAGCTTTGAAGAAGACATGATGAGGATGCTCTTTCAGTTCTTTGACCATATACATCATTGTTTCACCTTTCCCGACTATCAACTAGTGCCCACGATAGAAGATTTTTCTCAACTACTGGGGGGTACCAGTCGTTGATCAAATACCATTCACTGGTTTAGAGGAAACTCCAAGACCTGAAGTTATTTCCAAGGCCTTACATTTGAAGAGTTCTGACATTATAGCCAATTGGGAGACAAGAAGTGGGGTCAAAGGCTTTTTGGCTAAATTCCTGATGGAGAAGTGTGATCGGTGGATCTGGAACTGACTGTTTAACGCTGGTTCGCGAAATGTCGCGGAAGCAAGAGTCGCCACCGTCTTTTATTTTCTCCAAATGGAAAGGACAAAAGCACAGAAAAATTCCTTAAAGAGATTGCTCTCGGTTCGGGAGGTAGATTATAGAAAGGGAAGGTGTTAGCACCCTTTCTATCCATGGTTATCCATGGGCTCTTAGATACTTGCTCATTTGTGTTTTCAAAATTGTTTGTTTGCTTTTCAACTGTGGGTTTTAAAAAGTTTCTTTGAAAATTCCAGTTCGACTCTTGTATCGGTCCTCAAGAGTGTTTGAAAAATTGCTTTCGAAAGCTTTTTGAAAAGGTGTCGGTGTGAAAAGTATTTTTGAATTTGTTTTGAAATTTAGAGCAAGTATCTAGAGTCGTCTACCTACCCTAAGAAATTCGTCTGTGTAAATGTCCTTTAAAGTAGTGCCATCCCACCATTGAGAGGTAGGTAGCACCACCGTTGGAGGTGTTCGGGTCAATTCGAGTTTGTAGGGACATGGTGATCACCAGAGCAATGGGAAGACACCTTAGAAGCTACCCTCATGCCAGGTTCCCGGATCATGAGGACTTACTAAGACGTCCTCTACTCGACGATCACC